GAGGCGCCCGCTGCACCGGCCTCTCCGGTGGCGCAGGGACCACGGCTTCTGGGGCGAGGGGCGCATGGTCTGGGTGTGCGACCCCTCCAAGACTCTGGAGACCCCCAGGATCAGAGTCTGGGAAAGTCACCCCCAGAGTCATGAGAGGGCTTGGAGGGTGGTTTGAGGGCCGGGCTTCGGACTTCAAATTATGGAGGTCATTCTCATGGGATCTCCAGGGAAACTTGGCTGGACCTTCTAAGCGACCTCCCCCTCAGATCCCTGGCACTCTGGCCTGGAGGTCACTGTGTGGGAACCCAGGTGGGCATGGGGCGGGTAGTGCCAAGCTAGGGTTAAGCCGTAATACTCCAGACCCCTCCCAAACACAAGAGGCAACCTGAATCCGAACCAGAGGCTGCTTTGGGGATTTGGGGTGCCATGTTTCAAGACGAGGGTCCTTCACGACCCCCCTTCCCTTTTTGTCTCTGACGTCATCTACTCCCCTTTCCCCCCCGACTCCCCACTGTTGTCCAGGCCTTTGCTGTTTCCAACACACCAAGCTCATTCCCACCTCGGGGACTTCACCCTTGCTCTTCTTTGCTTGGACCACTCTTCCCTGAGGTGACCAAAGGGCTCACTTCTTTTCCTCCTGCAGCTCTTGGCTCCAATGTCACCTTCATCAGGCCTTCTGTCCATTCAGGGCAAACTGCCTCCGCCATCCCTTACTTGACCTCCTTTACAGTTTTTTTTTTTTCTTTTCCATAGTGGTTGTCACTACCTGACATTATCCTCTTCTTTACATGGTTTCTCCGTTCACTGCTTGTCTCTGCAACCCTGGAAAATGAGCTTCCCCCAGGTGAGGACATTGTCCTGTGCACTGCTGTGTCTCCAGCACCTTCAACTGTGCCTGTCACATTGTAGGTGCTCAATAAACAGTCATCAAATGAATAAATAACTGCCAATGCCAGAGGCCTTCTAAGATGCTGCATCCTCTTCTACCTCCCCATTCTCAGCAATTTCTGTTATTATCTGCATTTTACAGGCAAGGAAACTGAGGCAGCAGCTGGCCGCAGATGTATCTGGAACACGACCGGGCAATGGCAGGTGGCTCATCCTATCAATAGATTCTGCTAAATGGAGAGGATGAGGGTGGGCTCTGGGCTGTCAGGACCAGGGTGGGAATGAGAATTGTAGCTGAGGGTCATTCCTCAGAGGTCCTGACCTCCAGTTCTGGGTGGGGTGAAGTTCTAGAAACCCCCCAGCCCAGCCCTACCAGGCAAGACAAACCAAGGGTGGAGCTGGCCCCGGGGCGGAGGGACAGGACGCCAGGGATTCCAAGCCAGGGACACTGGACAACTTTGTGGTCTGGGCCTCTGTGCCAGTACCTCCTGGGCTGTGAAATTCCCCTGCAGAAAATAACTCTCTGGCTGTTCTGATTCCTCCCTTT